CAAGCTGTCATATGTAGACAGCCAAAAAATTTTCCATATGGACAGCACTTATTTCCAACCTTCTAACTATTTCATTTGCCAAGGAATTGACTGATCAAACATCAGTCCATGTAAACAACATATTCACTATAAAGAGAACTATTAAGTACTAAATTGTAGAATGTAGAGGTCCATATGAAGGAACGTCACTCCAAAATAGGCATTAGAGATCATATAAAAGTCATCTGGGAATTGGGATATGAATCTTTAGGATTGCCAAAAAACTGTATTCTTTCAACAATGTGTTAGATAATAATCTGGTCAGTTGAGCCCCTTGCTCCCTTAGCCCCTCTTATCCCTCATTTTTCAGGACATTGAGGGATGGGAGGGGTTAATGGCTTGTTTGGTTTGAAGGGAAAGATAGGGAAATTTATACAGGGTTTGTAAAGGTTTTCCTATAATTCTTTTCTTTTTCCTAATTTTTCCTTCAAACCAAACACAGCCTAAGGGAGAGGCCATTAGCAATCTAAATCTTGGACTGATGCTTGTCCTTGTTGGCTAAGAACCTCTATCTTAGAAGACTTTGCTTACCTTATTTAGTTTGCACTTAGTTTAGTTATGTTGTTTCTGTGTTTCTTTCTTTTACTTTGTTAGTTTTATCTTCCTTTTTTAGCTTTTTCTGATGTTCTCTGGTTCTTGGCTTCGGCCCGTTTCTCTAATGAAAGTTTTCCTTTTTTTTACCAAAAAAAAATAATTATTCCCTGAGAAATGCTGATCATCTTTTCATTTGTTGCTCTCTGCCTAAAATATATTTGAAATCACTTTCAAACTTTTTTTTGGATACCAACTTCTTCTCTACCCATACAAAGGAAGATTCTGTAGAGACGCAGGTTGCCAGATGAAAGGTGTGGAAAGAAAGAAATACTAAAATGTAAACTTTTTTTTTACCTCTGCAAATCATTGGAAGCGGGTTATGGGCTTATGTTTTATTAATATATAACATTTTATATTATATGTCTGTATCAAATTTATTTTATACATTATGGGATAAAAAATGTATATATTAAACATAAAATGTAATATATAACATTATGAAAACCAAGATGGGCAAAATCATTCCACTCAGGCCTGGCCCAAAAATTTGTAGGTCTGATTCAGGCCCGGCCTGAATACAAAACTTAGATCTAAGACGAGAATTTCCATGCCCAACTGAAAATGACGAAGAAAAAGCTGCCACTGGGTTCAAAGTTTCCAACCAAAGAGCAAGATAATGACAAACCAAAAATCAAGACAAACACAGAGAGACTTCAGATAAAAATTAAAATATGTTGTTGATAAAATCCTAAACTCTACGACCTTAAACCTTGACTTATCCCTTGACAGAAAGGTCGGAGTTTCATATATATATATATATATATATATATATAATCTTGATAAGCAAAAAATATGAATGTATATGATTAGAATATGAATATATAGGGGTGTCAACGGTATTTGAAAATTAAATTTTGAATTCAAGATTTAACATAATTGAATTGAATTCGGATAATTCGAATATCTAATCGGTCAAATTTGAATATCATATTCATACTGAATAGCTAATTGGATTCGAATTCAGATATAATCTGATACGATTCGATAAATATCCAAAGTCAATCGATTATTTAATTCTTATATATAATATATAATTTTTTTTAAATGTATTATATAATTTATAAATATAATAATTAAATTGTATAAATAATTTATTATTTATATACTTTATATAAATAAAATATTTATTTTATATATTTATTAAATATCTAAAATAATTAATTAGTTGAATTTGATTCGAATCAAATATTCGAATATTTAATCGGATTTGAATTTGAATATTAATTTTTGATATCCATTGAATATCGAATTTTTTAATCGGATTCGAATTCATATATTAACTGATCCGATTCGAATTGGATCCGTCTACACCTCTGTGAATATATGGTTGGTAAATGATATTGAGAAGTGATATTTTCGAAATATATATAAGATGCTGGTCCACAGGTCTGAAACCGTCCATCTTTCTCGGGTTGCTGCACCGCCGGTGAAGGCCATAGTTAAAGCCAATAATACCAATAATTGTTATACAATGTAAATAAATCAAACTCTCTAGTGTATAGTTAGCCAATACGCCGCATACATTTATAGCGGAAGGTCGTGGGTGATTAGCGTCGAGTCGTCGACGTCGAGTCTCTTTGAAGATAGTTACAGAGTTTCATGTAAAAGATATTGCCAGTTGATGCAGATTAATGAAACTAAATACCTGCTGACCAGAAGCTTCATTTGGCCACTCCGATCATTTTCCAGTAGGTGGAATTTCAAATTTGTAGTACAACATTTTTGTTGCGGAGTATTAATTGCAGTACATGCAGTTAGAGGTGTCAACGGATCGGTTTTGGGTTGGACTCCGTCCAAATTAGACATATTGAATTTGGACGGATTGGATGGACCAATAAGACATATTGAATTTGGATGGATTGGACGGACCAATATGAAATATGGGATTAGACCTGGTTCGTCCATAATAAATATATATTGCACTGAGTCAATATCTGATCCATTGATAAAAGATAAGAACATAGGGGTCAATGAACCAAGTTTGAGTTGAAATCAATCTAAATTAACATGAATTTGAACAGATTGGACAGTCTTTGAACCTGTCCAAAATGGTCCAAAATATCCACTGGACTGGATTGGACTAGGTCTATTTGTAATGGACTCACAAGAAGACATGGTGGAAAAATCGACTGGCCCAGTTTGAGTTCACTAGTCCAGTATTGAGCGATCCTTCAGTGGACCAATCTACCATCGATCGAACCGGTTTGATGGATGGACCGATCAGCCCTTCACCCGATCATCAGATGCATGATTCCATTTCACCCGAAACCACTTAGACCAACACTTGAGAGATTATTTTTTCATATGAAGAATTTCATTATTATAACTAATTTTGTTTGATAATGTGAGAAAATCAATTTACCACGAGACCTATAGTTACCAATGTATCAATATGAAAAAAAAAGTTTCTTAAGTGGTAGAAAATTTTTACTTCCATATTTTAAATAAATTTAATAAAAATTCGACGGTAACAATGTAATCAAGTTTAATTTGGCCCATTTATTAATCTCTCAATTGAATTGGCTGTCCCAAATTTAAACCAGCAACACATGCATGCCCTTGTGATGGTGGTAGCACATACACCACTAGGCCTTAAGGCTGAGTTTGGAAGGAGTACAAATGCAAAACCTTATATTTTGTATGTATTTACTCTATACATATTTACATTTGTATTGCTTCCAAGCTCAATATGAAAAAAGTATAAATACAAATTTGTCCTGATTGGCAGGCCCACATCAATGAAAAGAACTGTTAGAGTAATTTTATATTTAGAAATATAGCCTCTTGTCTTCTAAATAACATAGTTTTATCTTTAGAAATATAGCCTCTTATCTTCTAAATAACATAGTATTATCTTTAGAAATATAGTCTCTTGTCTTCTAAATAACATAGTTTTATCTTTAGGATGGACGGCCTCTTTTGTCCTAGAGGGTAATTGTCACAAACGTATAAATTCATGAATACCGACCGAGGTGGTGATTCATTGAACATTGACGTGAAAACATGCTCCAAAAGGTCTAAATAATGTAGGTGGACCCTTCTCTCTCACGAGACATGAGAGAGAGAGAGAGATTATCGTCCAACATTAACAAAGAGAACAAGTGGCTTTTATTACCATTTTCTATCGATTCGAAATATTCAACACTGTTGGACTTTTTGAAGAGTTTTAAGAAATACGAAGAATTTTTAATAGCTTTTCTACGGGAGGCTTAATGTTCTCTCAGTAGATTCCTTAGTCCATTTATCAGGTGGCTTTAACAAAAGATAAACGCGGTTTCGGAGCTAGCGTTCAGGATTGTTTAATTTAAGGATCATTTATTAAAACATCCTTATAGCTTCATAAATTTATTAAAAACTATCTTATAATTTGTAACAATTTATTTAATCAAATTTTCATTACACATAACTAGAAAATGACAAATTTGATCATAATGTCTATTTGGACAAATTTAATAGAAAACATAAAAAATGGAAGTATCATTTTTCTCCCTAATAAAACGTGAGCAACCACTTATATTTGATCAGTTTTGTTCTTTGTTTGAAGGAAAGAAGAACCCAAATGCCACCGTTATCTTTTCTTCTTTATTTTACTGAAACCAAACAATGTTTGGTAGATCGGGAAATCAATCATTGTGTTTTTCTTAGATTCAGTTTGGAAAGAGTACAAATGAAAATATATACAATATAAATACATATAAATTAATACAAAATATAAGGTTTTGCACTCTACATATTTATATTTATACTTCTTCCAATTTGAGCTTAAAAATTTGATATTAAATGTTTGGGGTACTTCCCGAATAAACAATTATCTTAAACATTTTCCGCGGTTTAGGTGCTCATGTGATCATGATTAAATAAATTGGCTACAAATTATGAGGGGTATTTTAATAAAACCCAAATTATAAATTATGTTTATTATAAAAAAATTATAATTGTATGTTTCACTAAATCTACAAAAAAAGTATAGGGGTGTTTTAATAAATGTCCCTTATCTTTTTAATATGGGTCGTCTCTTCCACTTTTGAAATGAAAATACATCAACGGTTGGGATTATTTAGGCTTATATTTGTCTCCAAGTACTCTCCCAGGTACAAGAGACATGTGACTCGTGAGTCGTGAACCCAGAGGCCAAGATCGTTCTCTCTCACCAAGGTCTCGTGCCACAGGCCCACGGAGGCCCAGACTCCAATACCTTAAAAAAGTTAAAACGGAGGAGAATAAAAACTATATATAAAAGGAGAAGAGTTCAAAGACTAGAGAAGCACGTGCCATGCACGTGATTACTCCATATGGCAATTGCAACTTGCAAGTGACAAACTGACAATGACAATTCACAGCTCCACAATCCATGGGTCCAACTTTGAGTGAAAAATCAATGGCAGTTATAGCTTGACTGCGCTTAATCTTGATGCGGAGATCACAGTAATGACACTCCCAAGTCCCAACAGGCAACAGACAATTCGCAGTCCAAGTGTGTGATTCTGACTTTGTATGAGCTAATGAGTTTGTGGTTCATCGGTTTCCACGACTGATAAACCATCCACAACTACAATTTTTGGAGCTATTTGAACTGTCTTCTATCTATCCCTCACCTTTTCTCTCTTCACCATCTCATACAACCTTCGTTTAATTGCAGAGAATCCATGATTTCTTCTTTCCTGTGAAAAGAAGGAACACCCATCATCCGTTTGATTATCTTGTCCGTCCTTATTCTTCTTACAGTTAAGCTCTCCTACCATGGCTTCTTCAATGGCTTCCATGTCTAGGTTTCTTCAGAAAGATACTAAATTACAGATGCCTAGCGGCCTTTACAGAGGAAGCTCTTGTTTGCCTGTCAGAAGACTTCAATCCCATTTGGGTACGTGCATTTGTTCTCAAATAAAATGTTTCATGTGCGGGCTCTGTTTGATTGCTGGGTTGGCAAATTTTATGCTCGTCTGTAATATTGGGTTATACTTAGTTTGACTGTTTTGGGGATCTGGGTTTGTTTGATTATGTTACCGTCGATTGTAATACTAATTTGCTATTCTTTTCTTTTCTTGTTTTTATTTGATCAAGTAGACCTGAGAAGCAGCTTAGTATCTAATAAGGCAACTTGGACCGTCCTAAACAGTGTCTGGAGTCCGATAGTCGCTTTGTCTTCTCCTTCCTCAATTGTTCAAGCTTCGCGGTATGTTATGGATTACTTGAGAAGTTCTTACCTTTTTTGTGGGCATTGCGTAAGGCCAGCTGCCACTTTATATGTTATACGGTTTTCACTTTTCAGTTCTATATCCTCATCTTCACATTTTCTAAACTGATGCTTGCCTTCCTTTTAAAGGATTACAAAATTTAAGGGAAACAAAATGAAAAACTATATCCTCTGTCTTTATTGAATTTAAGTCATAAGCAGATCAAGCCTACCTGCCTGAGATAACTTCACCACTCTGTTGTCAACGATGTTATGCAAAAGGAACTGTAAGAGTGTGTATCTGGGAAAAACATGAACAAGGTTCTATAGTTGAGGATCTCATAAGCATACATCACATTTCTAGTATTAATTTTTTTAAGGAATACAGGCTTTAGACACGAGAGTTTATATGTAGTACACCTTTGTTTTTACAGTGCATTAAACCGGTGGCCTGTTATCGGAGGCATTGTACCTATTCAATAACTAGGGAGAGCTTATTCCAGAAAAGATGAATTCATTGAGGACTAACAATGAGCCATCATCAGAGTTTAACTTATAAAGAGAGCAGAGAGATAACTTATGATGTTCATATATAATGGGGACGTATAAAAAGGGAAGAAAAGTAGAAAAAAAGGAACAAAGAGCACATCATTTTTCTGTCTGCAGAGGTTGTTCCATCTGCCTCTTTAGGACTCTGGGACGAAATCTCAACGATATTTTAAGATCTTCTCACATTCTATTTTTTTTCTATTATTGTATTTTTTATATGATTTATTATTTTGTGGATTTAGTCCCATGTTGGTTGTTTGTAGCTCTGTCAATATGAAATGCTTGAGTCTATTTGTTATTGAAGTGGTTATGAGAATCTACTGTCTTTTGCAATCAGGTTCATATTTCTTGCTTAATTGCCTTAAATTTTGAGTGTTGACATACTTTTTTAGTCCACACAGTCCCAATTGCTTAGGATGGTAAATGATGGAAGCAGTTTATATCTTATTTTCTTTTCTAATGGTTTTTTTAAATATACATTGTGTGTGATCATGGTATTATATATTTGTGGGTTGAAGCTGGAAATAATGCCTTTATGATTTGAAATCATATTCTAACGATCATTCTATACCACTGATTTATTTGTTATGTACTGTCCAGCAGAAGCAATCGAGTTTTGTGCAAAGCAGCAGCAAGTGTATCTGGGGAGGTTCCTAGTAGCAAGCCCAGTGGATTGAACCAATATGAGAGTATAATTGAAACATTAACAACTCTTTTTCCTTTGTGGGTATGTTCAACACTCCACATTTCTTTGAAACCTTTCTACTCGTACACTTTCCTTTACCAATTCTTTCAGTTTTCATTTGAGGTTTGTTTGGTGAAGACAATTTCTGTCTTTATTTATTTTTTTTGGACAGGTCATATTGGGTACAATTATTGGTATATACAAGCCAGCTGCGGTAATGTTATCAATGTCTTTTCCAACTTGATTAATAAATCTATATTTTCATTTAATTGAAAATGTTTCTAAACTTTGTGTATTCAAAGTCTAGGTTGCATAGCGACTTAATCACTTGGATTCTCCTGCAGGTTACTTGGTTGGAGACCGACCTTTTCACTGTTGGCTTGGGTTTCCTCATGCTTTCAATGGGATTGACCTTGACTTTTGATGACTTCAGACGTTGCCTGAGAAATCCATGGACTGTTAGAATCCAACTCTCTTTGTAGATCCTTGGAATTAGTTCTGTTATTAAAGTTAAACTAATATATCTTTTAAAGCATTCCTCACTCCTTTTTGTTTCAGCCATTAAAGGACGAGTTTATTCTTCTATTTGCAGGTGGGTGTAGGATTTCTTGCTCAGTACTTCATTAAACCCATGTTAGGCTTCATCATTGCAATGGTATGCCTTTAGCCATACTAGTATCTCTCATTTTTCCCTGCATACTGATATTGAATCCTGTCATACGTTGATTCTTTTGATTTTTCCCTTTTGATAGAGACACTATTTAATGCCTGAATTTTATATTAGTTCTTCCTCAAGTTCCATACCTACATACATACATAATATATGTGATCACTTTCAGTATAGATTATGATAGTTTGATATAATTCCTGGTTGGAAATAGTCTAGGGAGCTGGAGCTTATTCTTCCATAGCTTTGCATTATCTGGGATAAAATGAATTAATTTTTGTGTGAATTAAGTTTTGGAAATTGAGCACTTATATATATATATATATTTGGTTATTAACATATCAGAAATTATTTATTAGATATTATGATAATAGTACATTGGTACAAGATAAAATAATAGTCTTTATTCTCTTCATTATTACAAGTAGCCCTCTGGCTCTGCCACCCCTAATATAAAATTGAAAAGAAAAAACAGATAGACATCGCCTATTCTTGATTATAAGGCCCGACAAACAGTTCAACCATGTTTACCCCCTTCTCTTGCATAAATATTGGCCAAAGCATTTGCTGATCTTTTCATCCTTTTGCTGGAAAGGAATCTGCCTTGCTGTATGAATATGTTTGGACACCTAAGGGTCTTCTTGTACTTCATCATGCATCCTATTACCACCTTTGAGTCCCCTTCCACCTCAATCTTGAAGAATTAATGCTAACTTTTCCCTCATTAAATTGCCAACTCCAATATGCCCAGAAATATCCATGGATTGTCATGATTGCAGCCATCAAATTTAATGTTTGGGTATCCTATCTTCTTGAAGAAAAGATCACTGCTTGTTGGTTTCAAATGACACCATATCTTGAAGACAACCTTTTTTTTCTCGTTTTTATTCAATAGGTAGATCTAATGATAATCAAATCAATCAGTTCCTCCTGCATTCTAGTTTTTTTTTTGTTGAAGACTTGAAAATTCCTTTCTTCCCAGATAGACCCTAGAACAGGGGCATCATATTATGACAGGCATTAGAATGTATGTTATTCCTAAATGAGTTCTACCAAGTGCATTTTCTTTTCATTCACGACCACTACTGTCACAGTTATCATCATTATCATCCCAACTATTTGGAATTAGCTACATGAATTGTACTCCATCATTTTATTTTGCATAGAGTAAAATCAATATCATGAATACAGCACATGATTGAATTTCTGCATGAACCATTGCTACTTGTATGCTATGGTGCTTAGAACTATCAGAATCAATTCACACTGCCTTGATTTTGTTTCCACATGATTTGTAGTCTGCTTAGTAAATCTACTCTCTTATTTACAGAGTCTAAAATTGTCAGCTCCACTTGCAACTGGTCTTATTTTGGTCTCATGCTGCCCTGGAGGCCAGGCATCAAATGTTGCAACCTACATATCCAAGGGAAATGTTGCACTCTCTGTTCTCATGACAACGTAGGTCTACTTTGTATACTTGCAGTTTGGTTTTTCTTCAGTAGACTGGATGCTCAATGGCCTTCAATTGTAATTTGATATAAATTCTCAAGGAAATTCTCTTCTTGCTAATACTTTTTTTGACAAGTTCTATAGTACTGAAATGATATTGTACCTAAAGCACTTTGACCAATCAAAATTTCATGTGAATTTGAATGAAAATATCGGTTGATTGGTTATGATGCATTATACCATAGCGGGACTCATACTTTTATGAAGTATTCGTGGGCTGGGTAGCCCGACAGGCGAGCCTAGCCTGGCCTGCTCTTAGTTGGGCTTAGACATGAATTTAGGCCTGCGGGCTTAGGCTTGGGCTTTCTCAAAAAAGCCTGACCTGAGCCCAACCTGATAGTATATTATATAATAAAATATATTTTATTATATATAATATATAATATATAATATGTTGTCTTTGTTCATCGTCTCTTTTCTCAAGCCATAGTGGGATCTTTTAGTATTGTTAGGTTTTGAGGTTGTTTAATATAAATAAATCAGTTTTGTTATTGAGTAAAAAAAATATCTTTTTTTCTCAATTTCCTTGCCTGGCTCAGGCTTGGGCCTGAATGTGTTCTATTGATATAGAGGCAAAGCCCGGCCCATGGATAGGTCTAGATGTACTAGGAAATGTGCATGTGCTTTTTATGTGCAATTTTAGATGATGATGGTGATAATAATAATGTGTCCAAAATTTTCCATAATTTTTTTATGTTTCTACATGTATAAAAATAGTTCTTTTATATCACACTTATTTTTGTTTAATATGATGAATATATAATATTAGAGATGTGCCTAAATGTTTTCTACAATTTTTTGGTGTTTCTATCTTTTTAAGTCTTTATTATTTAATATGACGTCAAGGTTTAACACATTTAACCCAAAGAGTCGAATTCTTATTGCCAAAGAAGAAAACGATTCCATTTTTTGGGCTGGTTTTAAATTTTGTATTTTATTTCCATGATCAATAGAAATAATTCTTCTTTATCTCACTTATTTTTCTTTAATATGATTAATATAAAATATTAGAGATATGCCCAAATTTTTTTCTATAAGATATCTATATTTCTTCATAGTTTTTTTTTGTGTTTTTTTTTTATCTTTTTATAATTTTTATTATATAATTATAATATCAAGAATGAGACATTTGACCTAGAAGGTTAAACTATTGGCCCACCACCAAGTTGGTAAGCAACTTCAATTTTGGCTTGGTTTTAAATTTGTATTTCATTTTCCACATCAATAAAAACACTTCTTGTTTATCAAGCTTATTTTTCTTTATTATTATTATTATAAGTATTAGTGAGTTTTTGTATTTTTTCATATCTTATTTTGTGTTTTCTCTTTTTAAAAATTTTTATTATTTAATTCTGATGTCCAAAAGATTGAACAGTTGACCTGTGAAAAAATAGGAAAACAATTTCATTTTTGGTCAGCTTTAAAGTTCATATTTCATTCCTAACATCAATAAAAACAATTATTGTTTATCACACTTATTTTTCTTTAGTATGAGTAATATAACATATTAGATACATGCCCAATTTTTCTATAGATTTTTAATTTTTTTTTGTGTTAATTTCTATTTTAAAAGTTTTATAATTTAACTATGACATCATGGGTTGACCCATTATGACCCTAGTGGTTGAATTGCTTACCCCAACTAGGAGAAATTAACACATTTGTTTTTGGTTTGATTTAAAAAAATGGGTTTTATGTTGTTAAAACTTAAAAGTATTGGATATAAGTGTAATTGATAGAATTTATTGGTGAGAAAAAAAGCTTAAGCATAGGATTCAATGAGAGAGAATGGGAGTTAATACCTTAAATATAAGACTTAATGAGAGGTAATTGATTGAGGTGAAAAGTAGTAGTTCAAATAAGACTTAGTGAGAAGGAAAGATAATGGGAGTTAATACCCAAAATATAAGACTTAATGAGAGGGAAATGAATGAGGTGAACAGTAGTAGTTCAAATTACATTTTCTGCCCTCACAATTGGAGAGGGGAAAATTCAATAATAGGGGTATTTTGGTCAACTAAAAGTTCCATACCATGGATTCATACTTTTTCTAATAATATAGATATAGATTTACAATATGAAAGCATTCATGGCTATTTTAGTTTCAATTTTACATCTGGAATGCCTTTTTACATGTTGTAGGTGCCCAAATCCATGTCAAATATGTTTTTTAACTTATCGGCATTACCCATAATCTAACATTAAATGTCCACCTCTATGATAATCATACCTGTTCTTATAGTTCCTTCATAAAACCATGAGACAAACATATTGAATTATGCATGGGGGGGGGGACAATAGAAGGAAGAAAGAGTAAATCACAATGTTTGCCCTACATGACATGTGCAAAAAACATGTTGGCACATACTGATTTGGCAGTGTTCTTTTGGAAGATTAGCTAGACAAATTCCAAGACATGTAGAAAAGGACAACTTCAGAAGTATAAAGGTTAACTGTTTGCTTGATAATATAATTGATATTGGCAGTTCTGGTACTATTTGGATCTCTGGTACTATTGGCAGTTCTAATATTGGTCCATCATGTTACATGGTTTTTTGGTTAGGAATGATCATGGGCCGGGCTAGGTTTTTACATTGTTTTGTGGTTAGGAATGATCATCATCTTAGCTTCATTGGGATGCATGAATCCTGTTTTGCGTTTCCATTCTGTTTAGTGCCAAATCCATTGATAAATTATGAGAGCTTAAATAATTTCTTAGTACTTCAACCATGTCCTTTTTGGTCTGCTTCTAGCTCCTTCAACTTGCAACATATTGCTTCTTCTTATGGGTGTTCTAGATGGTCTTCTATGCATGTGACCAAACCATCTTATTCTACTTTCTCTCATTTTATCACCTATTGAATCCATTCCTTGGTTCCTTTGAATGACTTCATTTCTGACCCTATCATTTCTAGCTTTCCCAAGAAAAAGACAATTCAGGATCTATGACCATAAGAGTTTTGTCAAAAGTTTTAATGCCAGCTGCCAAGTTGACACAACCCTCCTTTATCCAAGCTTGGGATTGGTAGTGTAAGACAAGCTCACATGACATGTATCCTGATTTGTAGTTTCATGCTGCTGCTTCTGCTGATGATGATGATATTAAATTTCTGGGCCAGGCAATGCGGACTTGGGCAGAAATGATCATCCTTTTTTTTTGTTAAGTGGCAACAATCACAATGCATTTTTTTTATGCCAGTGTCCTAAATTTCTTTCTCCCTGATTGATTTCAGATAGAATGTTCAATTTGAGCTTCAGATGCGTCACTATTCATTTTACTATTTGGGATTTTGTAGGTGTTCAACAATTGGTGCTATTGTTATGACACCTCTCCTCACAAAGCTTCTTGCAGGTCAGCTTGTTCCAGTTGATGCAGCAGTAAGCACATGCATTGCTTGATATTGAGTTCTTCAATAAATTGTATTGATTTTGTATAAAATAAGGCTAATAACTTTGAGGAACTTAATATTTTGTGTTGAATGGATCAGAATCAAAACCTACCGAATGGCCATAGGAATTAGGTTGGGAACCACGTAAAGGATTATGAATTATGGAATCCAATAAAAACGTTCTTTTGGATGGGAATGAAAAGAAACAGTTCTAGAAATGGTCCAGGAGGAAAAAATGAAAACAAAGAAATAAAGAAGGTGATTGGGTGGATGTGGATCATGAATCAAAGCCTTCCTTGTATTGTCATTTCATCAGAGAAACTACATCATGGCCTTAAGTTCAAAGATCAGAAAACACTCTAGTAGGTTTTTGGATAGAAAGGGCTTATGAATCATGGATCTGACTTGTATTAGGGGTCTCAATGGGGTAGTTCTTTAGGCTTGGGTTAATCTCTTCTGGGGTTATGTTTTGGGGGTTGAGCTAGATTATCCATGACTTGCTCAGTTGTTTCTTTACAGTTTGAGTTTTCCTTTATTTTTTGTACTCTTTTTCTATTGTTTCAACAAATTTCTCTGGTCAGTTACTGGAAAGAAAAGGAAGAAAGAGAAACTGTTAAATCTTCCAATTCAGTTTTTACTGTAAGGAACTTCCTAGTTGGACCCCATCAAACAGCGTGGACTGTGCTTACATTCTTCCTAACGGAATATAAACTTTCCTTTATCTCTTACAAGCAATTTTGATCCGATTATTGATAATTGCCTTCTGTCTACCAGTTTAAGGCTAAAAACAGTTGTTTTATCTTTGCAGGGCCTTGCCCTCAGCACTTTCCAAGTTGTTTTGGTGCCAACTGTCATTGGAGGTAATCAAAAGATGCTCACTTCACGGTATAATTACATTAATGATTAAAAAATAGATCATTATTGCTCTAATGCAGCTTACACAGCTCATAAATCTTTTGAAGAATGTTTCATCTGTACATGGATTTTAAATCTATGTTTGGTTTTATGTGTCAGTATTGTCGAACGAGTTCTTCCCCAAGTTCACTGAAAAAATAGTCACAGTGACACCGCTAATCGGGGTTATCCTTACCACATTACTTTGTGCAAGCCCTGTAAGTTAATGAATCTATTGGTTAATGAAATTATTAAATGAACCGTGAAGTGGTTATGATAGCTACAAGCTTAGTAGTTCTAGCATTATGTGGAAAAAAACTGACCTGGCCATGTGTATATGCAAGATTGGGCAAGTTTCAGATGTCTTGAAGGCTCAGGGTGCACAACTGATAGTTCCTGTAGCTATTCTACATGCTGCTGCATTTGCTCTTGGTTATTGGATTTCAAAAATGTCATTTGGTGAATCCACTTCTCGTACCATTTCTATAGAATGTGGGATGCAGGTATTTGTCTTTGTTCATCATCTGTATATTTTCTTGTCACCTGTTAGTGTGTCCAATAATTTGTATGCCATAAAACAGTTATATATATTTTTTATTATGTTCATAATGCATGGCATCTTCATTTAATCCCATACTAGTGAAAATCACTGATACTGGTATCTTTCTGCAATTTACCAGAACCAAGAGCACAATTATAATGGGTCTTTTTTTCCCATTACGTTCACAATTATAATGGCATATGGGCACCATTGCAAGGAGAGGTCTAGGGACCCTTGACCTCAGTTCCATGGGTCTTTTTTTCCCCAAATTTAGTATGATCCAGTTATGTCCTAAATAGAGAACTTACTGTAGTTGGGTTTTCTGTGACTTAGATAGAAATTGTGAGTAAACAGCAATTTATGTTAAATAGTGTACTTGTAAAGCAGTTTTTTTTTGTTGTCCTCAGACTACTTTTACATTGCCATAGTGTAGAAATGATACTCTGAGAACCCTTGAAATCAAATAATAGATAGTAGGAAATTATGAAATGTACTTAATAGATTACTGCATATGAATTAAGATTAAAATCTTACTATTGGAGCTGAATGGACTGGAAATTAGTAAGCTGGCAGTGATTTGCTGGCTTTACTCACTGAAGCTCCAAAACCCCCTATTTGCTACTGCCGTTCATTCATTCATCCTAATAAAAGATATTTTTAAAAGATAATTAAAATTATAGATTCTTTTTTCTTGGTAGGAATTAAGAAGTTAAGACCTAACATTTTTTTTTTGAGAAAAGGTAGGGTAAAATTTTATTGATATTGAAATAAGATACAAAGGGATCCCCCAAGGAAAAAACCTTGACAGGGTCCCAACATTACAACCCCAGCTTACAACTCCCAAAAGTTACTAGAATTCAGTCTAGCCTCCAAATGTGAGGTCTGAATCCCTTTAGTTGCCGACACCCAAGAGATTAATTTTCCAACTGAATACGAAATTAGATCCTCCTGAGTTCTAGCAATATTATGGAATATCCTTTTGTTCCTTTCAGTCCAAATGGTACTGATTACAGCAGCTGGAATKGTTTTCMAAATAACAGCAGCAAGTTTTGGCATCCCCTTTAAATCCCATCTCCAAAGCATTGAATCCCTTTAGTTGCCGACACCCAAGAGATTAATTTTCCAACTGAATACGAAATTAGATCCTCCTGAGTTCTAGCAATATTATGGAATATCCTTTTGTTCCTTTCAGTCCAAATGGTACTGATTACAGCAGCTGGAATGGTTTTCAAAATAACAGCAGCAAGTTTTGGCATCCCCTTTAAATCCCATCTCCAAAGCAGCTCCTTAACAGATCCAGGCATCACTCAATATAGGCCTAGTGCAGAGAAATAGTGGTTCCAAACTTTAATTGAAACGGGACAGTGAATAAACAGGTGGCAGCAATCCTCAACACCATGTCCACACAGAACACACCTCTGATCCTGGAGCTGAATGCCTCTTTTGAGAAGGTGAGCTTTAGTCAAACATCTGTCTAAAGTTGCAGCCCACACCATTAAAACCTAACATGGATTTGTTTGGGCTTGCCTCAAGGATCTTGGTACAAAGGCGGCCTGTAGAATTAAGATTGAAAGATGTTTAGCATCATATTAGTTAATTTGAAATAATGAAATTGTGAGAAAATTTTGAAAGTTTGACATGCTTAAATATGTTTTATATGCAATACTTTATTTTATTTTTGCATTTTCACTTCCAATATGCTTTATATGTTTATGTATTTTAATTTAAGCTAATAGGCTTTTCAAAACAGTTAGCTTAAAATTAAAGTTTGATTTTTTTAATTAATACTATTTTAGTATTTTTCTTAACTTATTTTGATTTTTTACAAATTTTTTGATTTTTTTTTTTAAATTTTGTGCCTTGCTTCAAAAAGGCGCAGTCCTCGCTTTGCGCCTTGCACTTTGGATGTAAAATGGCTTTTGCACTTTTTTGTGAATCTTGCGCTTTTAAAACACTGTTTTGTTTGGCGAACCATGCTTGTGACACAAGAGATAGCTCCTTTTTTCTGGCCGAGTGATGCTCTACCTCTTTCTGTTAATAAGTGCTTAATTGAAAACAGAATGGGAGTGCCATGGATCCGAGCAAAATGGGTGAAATAATTTTTCTGTTTGTTTTGAGTTTGGATAGAGAGATTCAGGGAGAGAATTGTATTTTAGGTGTGGGGCAAGGCGGGCTACGTCCTCCCATGTATTTGTTTTTAATTCATTAGTGATTTTGCTCAATAAAATTTCAAGGTGGCCACCCCTCCACCTGGTGTAAAGTTTGGGTTTAAAAAAACACTGTTCTAGCCTGACCTGCAATTTATTTGTATATATATACATAATGCATATATGTATGTGTTATTTTATTTTATATTATATGTTATTTATAAATATTACAATATGATAGATATTATATATATTTCATATATATAATATAAAATATTATATGTTTAAAGCTGTAGACCTGGAAGCTCAACCCTGAATAGCACATAGTCAACCTTGCTCAAAGGTGGTACTTGGTTGGTTGAAAGACTAACAGCCAAGGACAATGGCAGTATTGACACACTATGAAGGAGATAAAATACTTGGCATGGGAACGAGGTTACACATTCTCTTGGGTTCAAAGATCAGAAAATAGATTTGGTGATGCATTTTTTAACAAAAAAAAAGGGTCAGGTGGTTGTTTACCATCCCATCCCTAGGGATGCTAAACATATATTTCATTCTTTTTATTATCTACTGAAGTTTTAGTAGTTACCAATAAAAAATTCTCTAATGTCGACTGTGTTAAGGACTTGAATGAAACAATAACACAACATTTATGTAACTTTGGGCACACATCAAAATTGGGATGTCAGATATGTTTTCTTATTTCTCCTCGAAAAAAAAAGATATGTTTTCTTAATCAGGTAGAAATGAGATTTGTTGTTATGTTCTCTGGAATTAACTATAATTATCATGCTTCATTTTCTGGGAAGCTTTTGCACTTATGTGTTTGATAAATTAACACTAACAGGAATAATATTTTAGGGTGTTGTTGTGGACAATCCCATTTTTAATGATGTGGGTGCACCCGTTATAAAAGCACAAAAGGCTATTATACTTATTAATAAAACCTACATAAAAAGAATGAATAATAAGCCCTTTATGTTGACCTTTTTTATGACCTTCTGTCTAATGAACCTATTTAATTCTAATTATATCCCCCATATAATATGAACTAAGAACAAATTAAGAAACTCTTTTCATTGGCCTCGTTGTTGTTATTGAATCATGACCTTTCAAACAAATTTCGTTACATTCCTTTCATCAATGTTCTCAAACTTGGACTAGATGTATATTTGTTTCGGCGTTGGGTCAGATGTTGGAACTTTCAAACAGCCAAATCAAACATATGGCTCACTCAAATCATCATCATTTAAGCCTTGTCCCCACTATATAGGGTCAGCTACATGAATTTTGTTTAACCATTCAATTTTGGTCAGTGCCATATCCATTATTAAATTATGAATGCTTCAACCATTTCTTACTACAACCCATGCCCTTTTTGTCTTGCCCCTAGCCTTTATAGTCCCTTCAACTTGCAACAGATCACTTCTTCTTATGGGTGTGGGTGTTGTAGATGGTCTTCTATGCACCTAACTTTCCAATTCTTACACATCATTTGTTTTATTCTCCTAGTAAGGATAAATCTATTTGGCTTAAATGTTCATCATTTTTTTTTTATATTGGTATACCATTGCTATATTTTAAGCTATTGCAAATTCTAAAATTGTATCTTTTGTTTCACTCCTCTCCCCAAACCAAAATCCTCCATGCACCATATCCCACACTTCTTTTTCCGAGATGCCCATTTATCTCTCCTATAAAAATATTCTCTTTACTTGAGGTGCATAAACATTAATTATATTAATGTTTTCCTCATCTAAAACAAGTCTAATTAAACTGTTCTATCTCCAACTATATTTACAAATTCATTTTTTAAATCTTTATATACTATTATTGCTATTCTATTTCTATTATTTACTTCTTTGGCATAACATAATTTGTAGTCATCAATTTCTATAGCCTTTTCCCTTGCCATTTTGTTTCTTTTAAGTATGCAATGTCAAACTTCCTCCTGTTCGTTGTGTCTACTAATTCCATGGTCTTTCTTGTTGATGTTCAGACATTTCAAGTGGCTAATTGAATTCATGTTTCTTGAACTCCTACCTTGTCCAAAAGGATGGGGGAAGTCTTGCCCATTTTTGGCCACAATGGGCATAGTTGTGGTATGTTGCTTCTGAGAAATGGCTTAGCATACCACTGCCCATTTCTCAGTCCACTTGTGTTAAGCTGTAGTGTGTTGATTCCGGGGAATGCCCTAGCATACCTTTTCCCATTTCTTACCACACTTGAGTTATAGTGTAGCACATTTGTCGCTTCTAGGGAATTCCCTAGCATGAGCACGAAAAGACAATTCAGAATCCATGACCATAAGAGTTTGGCAGATTTTTTTTTTTTTTGATATCTTTTGAAGGGCTACACAACAGGGAGTAGCCCATCCCCAACCCATAACCCCCCAAACACAGGTGCAGACGGGATTCAATCCCAAGTCTCTGCTACGACCAGCAGGAGACCTTACCAAGCAGCTGGTTGGCACCTTGTGGTGTAGCACATCTGTTGCTTCTAGGGAATTCCCTAGCATAGGCACGAAAAGACAATTCAGAATCCATGACCATAAGAGTTTGCCAGAATTTTTTAATACCAGTTACCAACCTGACACAACTCTCCTCCCCTATCCGGACTTGGGGACCAGCGGTGTAAGGCAAGCTCACACTTAAAGAATGGGTAAAGAAGACAGAATTTTTCCAGATTATCTTTTAAAATCATTTTACATTGAAATAAGCTTAAAACGATAAATATTAAAGATTATAACACCGATTAACACATTTGGGTAAGTTGCACCAAGTCAACATTTCTAGGTACTGGGCAACCCAAAAACCATTTTAGCCTTTGTTCCTGGTTCAAATATCTGACCATCCAGTCCAGTCCAAGTTTAATAACACTGCCTTCCTTATCTCTTAGTATCTTGTCTTGACTCATGTTTTACAGTATTTGATGTTTTCTTAATTAGTGCAACATGTTATAGCTTTTAGTCTATCAAATAGAGCAGTTTAGTGCATTTCAATTTCATCTTTTGTAACTATACAACATTAGTTATTTTTATGTGCCTCACACATGCAGGCCCTATCTAGTACTAATAGAAGTAAAGACACAGGATTATTCTTATCTTTTTAGAAAATAACTTTTGGGAAACTAATTAGGGGTGCTCCATTTATCAAAAAGAGGATGTGTGCAAATATGCCCAATTTTCGAGTCTTGTTTCAAGCACTACTTTTATAAGTGTTTCTAATCATTTTATTTTATTATATCCATGTGTATATACATTACATTCTACCCATATTTTATTCTATGCAAAAGTGCAAATGTTCTAAAGCTGTTCCTCTTTAACATGTGGAATAAGATGAGAGCAATGCTCACATGTTAGGTTGGCTAGTCTAAAGCATGTGTTCCTATTACTTTCAACATTTTTAGCACCACCTTGTATATTTTCTATGTTTTCACAACTTCATGAATGAATTGTGCATTTCTAATTTTTATTTTCACGTCATCCTGATAAGATGGTTTACTTGTGAAACTTATAACAATTGTATAGTTACAATTGTCCAATTTAACTGAATATCAGCTAGCATGGGTGTTTGACAATTTGTTGCATTTTCTTGTTATTACTAGAGTTGTATTTTTGAATTCATAACACCATGGAGCAGTATTCATCAAAAGTAGGAAGAAAGTTCAAATAGCCCACAATAAATGAATATTTATCAACTCATGTACTCATGCTATACTTCAAATAAGCATAAAAGTTGCTCAGTTGTTTATTCCATTTTTACAGAGTTCAGCCTTGGGATTCTTACTTGCTCAAAAACACTTCACAAATCCCCTTGTTGCTGTTCCTTCAGCTGTCAGTGTTGTTTGCATGGCGGTGGGACTCTAATTTACTCTCATTAAACATATAATTATTATTTTCTTTTTCTTTTTCACATTTACCGGTATGGAATTCCTTACCCACTTCATTCATTATCATCTTTACAGCTTGGTGGGAGTGCCCTTGCTGTCTTCTGGAGGAACAGTCCAATTCCAGATGATGACAAGGATGATTTCAAGGAATGAGAATTCTTTGGCCTTTTCTGCTGGTACATTTTTGTTTCAAATTATGTGTCAGTTCAGAGCTTTTCCACTTAGAGTACAACCTATAGGAGATATCATTTAAACTTCCCCTTTAATGTGAGGAAACAATTTTGTATTTACATTGCATTTAGATAGTTAGATTGTTACTATAGGATGTAGAAAAGTTTTTGTTTTTTGCTGGTCAACTAGAAAAGTTTAATTTGAGATACTGTTTCTGGAATTAGGAAGATAAATTGGTTTTGGGTAAGTAATACCCAGTGAAGAATAATTCCTTTGTTCTCATTGGAGTATCTTTGCCTTGTTTTATTTGTTAAAATATTTTTCCTTATCTATTCATAATGCAAGATGGAGAATTATATAAGAAAAAGAGAATCGTAAAGAAAGGCTTAGAAAGAGGAAAAGAATGCAAATGAGAGGCAGTCAAGAGCCATTTTTCTGCTGAAATCGATAAGCATTTTATATTTGTCATACTGGTAAAATTGCTGCTGACTTCTTGGGGTGTGGCCCTCAATGCCAGTATTTATCAGAAAAGTTGTCACGTCTTTTTAGAATTCTTCTGATGACAAAGCTCCATCTTTATATTTAATTTACATTTAACCAAGACCTTTAGAAGTAAGTGCTTCCTATCAGTATCAAAAAAAAAAACCCAAGATTATTGTTAAATGGTCCACCAGCACCATTGTTGCTGTCATCTTTTAGCAGATATGCTCATTGATTCAGACCATCCATAAGCTATGAACCATTCGAACAATCATTTTATGTTGGTCAGTGCATTACTTTAATGAGTGGTTAAAAAAACTAAAAAGAAGCAAATGAAGATTGACTCATTTGGTGTTTATTCTGGACTTGTGGGCATGGGCCAAGGTCTTTAGACCAGATTGGTGGTTTATCTCAGGGTAGTCTGTCCTTTCAATAGGCCCTTATTTTCTTTTTTTTTTTTTCCCAGAGAATAAAGGTTCTTTTTCTCTAGTTGCCATAAAGCTATTAGTTGCAATCCACTCTGCAACTAAGGTTTACGGCTAGAACGTGCGGGCATATTCTACCACTTCATTTAATCTCCAGCAAGTAGGCTTCTGCATCCTGAGAATCCAAAAGACTATACAAACTTGAATGAGGGCTTGGGTCCTGTGCATTAAAATTCGTAATGTTTAACCTTCCATAAGGCCAGTACCAAGCCATGCTCTCCATTCAGTCACGAGACCCCCAAGAGCAAAAAAATTCTTTAATATCGATCCCAGAATGCCAAAGTCAAAAAACTTCCATTATTATTGGCTTTTATATATCAATTATATGAAAGTACTTCAGTACTTCCACATGAATCTAATTCCACATTTGTTTCAGTGAAAAAGGGAAGGGAAAAGAACAAGAAAAAGAAAAAGAAAAGCTCAACCTCTACAATGTTCATGATATGGAAAAATGAGTGTAAGGGTACATTGAGCTGGCTTGAGTCATTGACAGCTACTGCAACTTAGGACGAGTAAATGCATGGCAGCCCAAGTGATCTTCAGTGGTCATTTGGCCCTGTAAACCATAGATGGGCAAAAGTTCAATAAAGGGTATTTGGCGATTTTGTAAGGGGGGGCCCATCAAATGAAGAGAAGCTTTTTACAGTGTCAGATTGGGCCCCACTTTACAGTGATACCCTACCACACATTGACACATTGTCGTAGCTATATGTCCCATCCGACACTAATCTACTGATGAAAAATTATTGAGAGAAGCTCCTTTGTTGCATTACAGGGTCGCTTCTCAGTGTTCTCAGGCTCTAGCAAGCACTACTCCTCGGCCAAAAAGTCCTGGTACGGGTGCCCTAGATTGGGCTAACTGCAATGAGGCTGGAATCTTTCAAGTTGAAGCTTGATAAGGGTCCAGAAGGGTCAGGAATCAACTAGGGTCCTCTCAGGTGGTGAGGTATGGGCTTGAGGGTGCTCCCCCCTCATATGAGGGTCGATATTCAAATCCAATTGAATACAAGTTGGGCATGAGCGTTAAGTAGACTCCAGACTGATATGTGGAGGATACATATTAAAATGGACCCTCTCATGTGAGGGTTGCCTTCTGCCACGTGGCATGGGTGGCATCTTCTTATTCTTCCACCTGGCTAGATGTATTCTAGAACTTTGGATCTCAGAAAGCAAGAGTGAAAGAAACAATCACTAAAATGGAATAACCCTTTTTAATATAGCACTCAGTGAATTGAATGTGGATTATATTAAAGTGCAATTTCCGTGTAAGTCAATGATGGGCCTAGATTTTATCGAAAGTGTGGCCCATGGCCCACCTTCTCCTATAAGAGCAGAAAAAGGGCCTTCTTAGTGATAAGACATAGTACTACAAATGACAAAACCAAGCATCTTGCAGAAGAAAGATCAACCTAAAGTGTGATAGTGGATTGACCCATTGGAGTACCCCAAGTATATTTTATTCTTTTGAACTTGACACTATATTCGGTTCTTGAATTACTCCCTTCTGTGTAGTAGGATCCGGGCATAATCAATTTTGCAACCAATTTTTTAAGTTGAAAAAATTCCTTTGGGGAGGGTCAAATGGGTCCATTCCAAGTCCCACCACCTGGTCCAAATGAAGGTTGGGAAGCGGTCTACCTAGGCCGGGCAAAAGGTAAAACAAACCAAGTGAATCGGGTCTCTTGGTGAAAAGGCTGAGATGGGTTCATCTAAATTCCAAGCTTTGAACGTGGCTGTGAATTGTGATAAAGCCCAAACAATCTTCTACTCTTGTAGATGTAGGATGGGGTTATAATTCATAGGTGGAAAGGTGAAGTAGACGGTACAGCTGTTTGGGGCTTACGTGGATGCATTCACTGTACACTTGGAGGGCTGATCTGGACAACCCAGACTATCACATCAGGTGGAGGGGGATCTGGTTCATGGCAGCTATATATATATATGTATATATGGCCACATTAATGTTTTGACCTTTCTGCTGTAACTCTCTAGCAGATTGCTTTCTTTCTTCCTCTCCCCCACCCATCTCCCCTCTTTTGCTCGTAATGCAGCTACAAAAGGGAGCAGGGTGAGATTCCCATAACCAAGAAGGAAAAGAATATTAACAGAAAAGGCGATTGTCTTGGTTAACCTTTGAGGCTTGTTTTTTGGAACCCGACACATGTACAGTCAAGCTCCTGGTGGAGGTAGCATTTCACACAGAGTGACGATTCAATGGGGACCCACACAATGAAATGGGAAACTTTTCTGGACGACAGATCAGAATCTACTTGACGCATAGGTGACAATATGTCCCATCAGACACCAAAGCGGTGGTAAAAAGTTCTACTCATGCGAGGGGGTCCCCAACATTACTGCATCATGGCCTTGCTTAAATAAACCAATCCTTCTCATTAAACAAATATGTGAAAGCCTGGGGCTATGTTAAGCTTCTTGGCTTTAGGCTTTAGCTGCTAGCCTACTACTATTAATGCTTTGAACACTGTGGCTGTGGGGCATCCAACTTGGTGGTGAGTGTTCAAGGCTATATTGGCAGCTAGCCAGCTAAAGGCAAGAAGCTTGCCCCTGGCTTTTCTTTCATCCTATATATTTTTGGAACATTTAGCTTATCAACTGTGGAGCTAAAAGGGATTCTAATGTTCTCTAGTTTAGATCATGATCATAAAATATAGAGAATATTAGCAAATGCGCATGCAAACCACCAAGAACAGGGAAGAAGGGTATGTTTAATTTATTAATCAAATAGCCCACAATAGCCCTGTTTTGTTGCTTAAGCTTCAATCCTCTTAGTGTAGCTTAGAGATAATATAAAGAAACAAAAGAGCACAAATTCAGGTGATTAGAGTTTATTTGCAAGAAGAATTGCAGCTTGAGACTAGATTAATTTGGAAGGCCAGACAGCAGGTGCAATTTCACAAATACTCAACTAATGCCACCCATGGTTGGGACTTGGGAAGCAATATTTATTTGAAATAACACATAATGCATTTAATGAAGCAAAAACACTAGAGATCTCTATCTCAGGTACATCCCCCTTCTGCATTTATAGGATTGAATCTGTTTCTAGCCTCAGCTTTTGCAATGCCAACCCTGAGGGTTCTCTTTTTCAAATGATGCAAAGGAGGAATGAAGAATCTTCTTTTTTTAGGGGGGGAGGGGGCCGGGCTAAACATACAGAGAGAAATATGACAAAAGAAAGGATTTTCAGTTATAGACGTGCTGTTCTTTTAAGAAAAGAGGATATCATAATTCTATCTAAATTATAGAAAAAGTGGTCATTCTGTATGCTTTAGTTATAAACAATCTATTTGGGATGGATGACTTTAGATGCTTCATTAGCAATATTTATGGGTAGCCAAAAATATTCCATTTGACAGCTTTTTTGGCCGCCTAAAACCCAAAAGGGCTATAACAAAGGGAATACCACTTGTCAAACTTCTCATTATGTCAAGTTCATGCAATAATGCTATTAATTTTGAGGTTAAATGGCTCGAATACAGAAGAGAAAAAGAACTCTTAGCTCATGGATTAATAATGAAGTAAATAAATAGCCAGTCTACATGATTAGTCCAACAAAAGGAAAACAACAACAAAAACCCATATGATGTCTCAATACTTTGAATTCGTTCTATCATTCCACAACAAAGCTTATAAAAGAGAGAACATCTACAGTTCCTTTGTCCTCCATGACCTCTTTTGTATTAATTTCACTCTACAAGTAGTGCAGTATTATGGGTTTCTTTCTGAAGGTTTTCTTATAAATATAAGCCACTTTTGCCACCAAACACAGTGTCAATTGGCTGATCAGGAACTGATTGACATGAATAAACATGTTGGGAGAGGGAGAGCAAGGCCAAGGAGAACCAACAAACCAAAGACACAGGGGCATAGAAGAAAATAGGAAAAAAGTGAGATTGGTCTAAAGAAGAAGATGGCTCTTTTTTCTTCCTGAAGATTTTCTTATAAATATAAGCCAATTTTTCCACCAGACACGATGTTAATTGACTGATCAGGAACTGATTGACATGAATAAACATGTTGGGAGAGGGAGACCAAGGACAAGGAGAACCAACAGACCAAACTCAGGGGCATAAAAGAAAATAGGATAAAAGTGAGACGGTTTAAAGGAGAAGATGGATTTTTTTTTTCCTAAAGATTTTCATATAAATATAAGGCACTTATGCCACCAGACACAATGTTAATTGGCTGATAAGGATTGACATGAATAAACATGTTGGGAGAGGGAGAGCAAGGACAAAGAGAACCAACAAAACAAAGACTGAAGGGCATAAAAAGAGAATAGGATAAAAGCAGGAT